CTTTCTTTTTCAAATTTGCTGTTTTGAGATTTGTCCAATAATTAAAAGCATAATTCCCTATAAATTCTAAATTATCATTAAAATTGAAATATTCGAGTGAACCACAATATTTGAAAGCCAAATTGCCAATTTCGATTAACTTATCAGAGATTTCGACTATTTTAAGATTATAACACAATTCACACATTGAGTTTGGAATGTGTGACACACCATTCAGAACAATTCTTGTCAAATACCCATTCGAACTGAAACAGTCTGCGCCAATGTCACAAAATTCAGGAATTGTAACATCGACAAGTTTCGCATTTGAAAAAGCGAAAGATCCAATGAATTGAAGACTGTTGGGAAAGTTGACGTTTTCAAGTTCAGAACACGCATCAAAACACGAGTTTAGTATCATTGTGATATTTTCAGGTAATTTGACTTCTTTCAATGAACTGCAAAACGTAAATGCACGTTCTCTTATCATTTTGACTGTCGACGGAATTTCTATTTTTGTGAGACCGCACGATTCAAAAGCCAACTTGTCAATTTCAGTGACATTAGATGGTATTGAGATTTCTATCAACTCGTCTTTTTCATCAAAAACAGCACAATCAAGTGTGGAAACTACTTCTGGAATTTTATTTCCATGTTTTTCAACATCTTCTGATGTATAACGGACGTTTTTGTACACTTCGAAATTGGTGTTCTTTTCTATGAACTCTGTATAAGAAACAAAATATAGAAATATATGACGATCAACTGTCATGATGATGTCATAGGGAGTATATACAATTTGAGTCTGAATATTTTGAAATAAACGTTTTGAGTCGGGACTTATTCGGATTGGGTTGATCCGGAAACGGTCAAGTATAAACTCATATTTCTTGCAAATTTGGATGATTGAAAGATAATCGGTTGGCGTTAATAAGTATTTTGCAATAATTTGCATTGAAAAGACGTCAATTTTCTTCATTAAATTGCAATTTTTTATTTTAGTTTTTAATGTTTTAAAATAATCTTTCTAACCGAGTCAACCTCATAAACTGTTCAATCAAAATTCATTAAATTCAGGAAAAAAAGCGAATAAAAATTTTGTTATTGTTATAAATAATTTGTTTATTTTTAAATTTTTATATTATACTTTCGCTAAATTTATAATGAATTAAAGAAATGCTGATTTCTATTTGTTGAGAAGTTTAATATTGTAATTTGACACTGTTTAATACAATTAATAAATGAACAATACTATAGATAAAATAGGTTTATTACCATTTTAACAAAATATAACTGAAAACGTTAGTTTCTTTTACATGTTTTTTTATTTCAAAGTTTAATGTGTCAATTGGTCCAGAAAAAATAATTGTGCACAATAATGTAGATCGTCATATAGTTGCAAATAAGTATATTTATTGTGAATTTGAATAATAAGTAGCAACAACAAATCGCAACATGACATCTGACAATTACCATTTAACTTTTTGACTGATAGATTAAGGTCGGTATCAAAAAACAACAAAGTTGGTCAAGGGTTTACTTGTTAATTGTTTATAACGAAGTATGCTTTTCTGTATCGAACCAATACAAACAATTCGTCAAATTCGCTATTTGAAAACCCAGGAAAGAGACATTTTGTGTCTCCAATAGAGTTTATTTTACGGAGTGTTTTTTTCTTTTAGTATGAGAGCTGTTTTTGTCTGAATTGTAGTTAAGTTGAACTGTATATTTACCATAATTAATAGAATATATAACAAAGATTCTCGGGTACAAGTTTTAGTCGTCACCATATAAACAGCTTTTTGTTTTAAAATTGTCAGTAAAGCTGTTTGGGCAAGTAATAAATTTTTTGACTGACGTTAAAACGGTTAGTCTCGCCCTGTAGTAGTTGTTTTTTGAAAGCTTTTTGTTGTGTTTGGTACTTTGTGATGGTCTTGGTAAATTTGTAGTGATTTTATCTTGTATGTCTTCATTACTTTCCTCTTTGATTGAACTTACATTATTAATCTGATAGAGTTGGATTAGGGTTTAATATATAAAACAGTGAGTCCCGCAGTGCCTGCTTTGTAGTAGTTGTTCATGTGCAGAGCTTTGTTATAGTTGTAAAAGAGTTGTTGTTGTGTATTTATCTGCAGCTAATGTGGTGCTCTAACAGTTGTTTCAAACAATCAATATTGGTTATGTTGGCTGTTTTTGTCTGTTAGGGATGTTTTCCATTGTGTTTTAATAATTATGAATTTTTTGTATGTTTTGATGGTTTTTTAGAATGAATAAAATACATAAAACAATAGAACCCAATTAAAAATGAAGATATTTCAAATCTGAATTCATTTGAACTTTTTATTGCTGATTGCTAGGAAGGTCAAAACAGTTTTTAAAACCGAGAAATTTTCAATTGTTTGTAAAATATTTCTTGTTTTCAAAATTGTGTTTTAACTTTGTTTATTTCTGTTTAAGAAACATTTGTTTTGGAAACAAGTAGTTTGAAAAAACACCGTTTGAAAACGCAACAGGTATTATTTATTTTTAAAACAATTTCAAAAACTAAAATTGTTTCACAAACTTTTTCAATTGTGTTTTAAAATATAATAAAATTATTTGTTTCAGAAATAATCAAAAAATTGTTTAGGAAACCTTTTAGATATTTATACTCATTGCCACTGGTTTGATTGTGAATTTTTTAAATAAAAGTTGATGTTTTTTGTATTATAATTATAATATTTTTATATTATTTGATTAATAATTAATTATTATACAGTTTGCCAAATTTTCACAAATCTTAACGTTTAGCAAATTATGAGAAAGGTAATAGTTCAGCGAATTAGAATAGTAGTGAAAAAACTTTAATTTTTAATTAGCTTGAATTGGGTATATTAATTCTCTTAACTGTTGAAAAATAAATATTTTAATAAATATTTAATAAAATAATTTAATATTTTATATTATTTTCAATTGTGATGACTTTATGGGTAATAAAAATAATTTGCCTAAAATTATCTTTACCAAATTTGTTGAATGCCGAACAGAAAATGAACAATTTACAAAGATCAAAAATCAAAAACATAGACTCACTTAATTTGAATTATTGAAATTGAAATATGTAGAACACACTTTTTGAATATGCTTATTTGGGTATTTTATGATTTATGTAATAAGTTGTATTTGTTTTTGAATTGATCAATAAATTATTGTTTAACTTTGATTTGTCACTTGGCACATCATTTCAACATTTTGTTGTTGTCAATCATAAATTTACGACCATTTTTTTATTTAATGTGGTCAAATTGACAATAACTTGTTTTAACCTTTAACATTGTTTCAATAAACCATATTGTGTAACGTTTTTTACTACATTTAAATTGATGTTAACCCTTAAACCAGAAAAATAATTGTTTATATCTCATGTTCACATTTTTGTGAGCTTAAAATAAAAATTTGAAATTGTTGCAAAATGTGAAATTTTACAAATGTTTGTGTTATAATTCGAAGTTGGGTTTTATGTTACAATTCGACAATGTAAAAACACCGTTTGTTTTTTGAACACTTTTTGAAAATGTAGTTATTAATAGTAAACCTTTTATGCTAAACGTTGTTAAAAAATCAAAATTAATAATCAAATAATGATGTCTTTATATAACTTTTTCATTGATATTTTAATCATATAAAAACAATTTTAAAATGTGTGTTGTTATTAATAATAATACAACAGTTAAATATGATTGTATATAATATCTCGTTTATGTTTATTATAAACAAATAGTTGTTTAAACACAATTGTGTGTATTGATGTAGTTACATCTATAAAGTGGTCACAATAGTTTAAAATTGTTTTTTTGTTGTTTCACAAAATGGTGGTAATTATTCAAATCAATAATCAAAAATGTATTGTCATACACAACTGTTATTCAGATGTAAATATATTCAACAATTTTGTTTGGTTTCAAAACTTAATAATAAAGTTGACCAAATAATTATCAGAGACCAAATAATTGTAAGAAGGATGTATTTCCCGTTAATTACCTTGAAATTACTATTAAAAAAAAGTATAAAAAGGTATACCAAATA